ATCCGGAATTCGGATTATCCGGAATTCGGATTATCCGGAATTCGGATTATCCGGAATTCCGATTATCCGGAATTCGGATTATCCGGAATTCGATTATCCGGAATTCGGATTATCCGGAATTCGGATTATCCGGAATTCCGATTATCCGGAATTCCGATTATCCGGAATTCGGATTATCCGGAATTCGGATTATCCGGAATTCGGATTATCCGGAATTCCGATTATCCGGAATTCCGATTATCCGGAATTCGGATTATCCGGAATTCCGATTATCCGGAATTCGGATTATCCGGAATTCGGATTATCCGGAATTCGATTATCCGGAATTCGGATTATCCGGAATTCGGATTATCCGGAATTCGGATTATCCGGAATTCGGATTATCCGGATTATTCGGATTATCCGGAATTCCGATTATCCGGAATTCCGATTATCCGGAATTCCGGATTATCCGGAATTCGGATTATCCGGAATTCGGATTATCCGGAATTCGGATTATCCGGAATTCGGATTATCCGGAATTCGGATTATCCGGAATTCGGATTATCCGGAATTCGGATTATCCGGAATTCGGATTATCCGGAATTCGGATTATCCGGAATTCGGATTATCCGGAATTCCGATTATCCGGAATTCGGATTATCCGGAATTCGGATTATCCGGAATTCGATTATCCGGAATTCGATTATCCGGAATTCCGATTATCCGGAATTCCGATTATCCGGAATTCGATTATCCGGAATTCCGATTATCCGGAATTCCGATTATCCGGAATTCCGATTATCCGGAATTCGATTATCCGGAATTCGGATTATCCGGAATTCGGATTATCCGGAATTCGGATTATCCGGAATTCGGATTATCCGGAATTCGATTATCCGGAATTCGGATTATCCGGAATTCGGATTATCCGGAATTCCGATTATCCGGAATTCCGATTATCCGGAATTCCGATTATCCGGAATTCCGATTATCCGGAATTCCGATTATCCGGAATTCCGATTATCCGGAATTCGATTATCCGGAATTCGGATTATCCGGAATTGGATTATCCGGAATTCGGATTATCCGGAATTCGGATTATCCGGAATTCGATTATCCGGAATTCCGATTATCCGGAATTCGGATTATCCGGAATTCCGATTATCCGGAATTCCGATTATCCGGAATTCCGATTATCCGGAATTCGGATTATCCGGAATTCGGATTATCCGGAATTCGGATTATCCGGAATTCGATTATCCGGAATTCCGATTATCCGGAATTCCGATTATCCGGAATTCCGATTATCCGGAATTCGGATTATCCGGAATTCGGATTATCCGGAATTCGGATTATCCGGAATTCGGATTATCCGGAATTCGATTATCCGGAATTCCGGATTATCCGGAATTCCGATTATCCGGAATTCCGATTATCCGGAATTCCGATTATCCGGAATTCCGATTATCCGGAATTCCGATTATCCGGAATTCGGATTATCCGGAATTCGGATTATCCGGAATTCGGATTATCCGGAATTCGGATTATCCGGAATTCGGATTATCCGGAATTCGGATTATCCGGAATTCGGATTATCCGGAATTCGGATTATCCGGAATTCGGATTATCCGGAATTCGGATTATCCGGAATTCCGATTATCCGGAATTCGATTATCCGGAATTCCGATTATCCGGAATTCGGATTATCCGGAATTCGGATTATCCGGAATTCCGATTATCCGGAATTCGATTATCCGGAATTCCGATTATCCGGAATTCGATTATCCGGAATTCCGATTATCCGGAATTCCGATTATCCGGAATTCGGATTATCCGGAATTCCGATTATCCGGAATTCGGATTATCCGGAATTCGGATTATCCGGAATTCCGATTATCCGGAATTCGATTATCCGGAATTCCGATTATCCGGAATTCGGATTATCCGGAATTCGGATTATCCGGAATTCGATTATCCGGAATTCCGATTATCCGGAATTCGATTATCCGGAATTCCGATTATCCGGAATTCGGATTATCCGGAATTCGGATTATCCGGAATTCCGATTATCCGGAATTCCGATTATCCGGAATTCCGATTATCCGGAATTCCGATTATCCGGAATTCCGATTATCCGGAATTCGGATTATCCGGAATTCGGATTATCCGGAATTCGGATTATCCGGAATTCGATTATCCGGAATTCCGATTATCCGGAATTCCGATTATCCGGAATTCCGATTATCCGGAATTCCGATTATCCGGAATTCGATTATCCGGAATTCGGATTATCCGGAATTCGGATTATCCGGAATTCGGATTATCCGGAATTCCGATTATCCGGAATTCCGATTATCCGGAATTCCGATTATCCGGAATTCCGATTATCCGGAATTCCGATTATCCGGAATTCGGATTATCCGGAATTCGGATTATCCGGAATTCGGATTATCCGGAATTCGGATTATCCGGAATTCCGATTATCCGGAATTCCGATTATCCGGAATTCCGATTATCCGGAATTCCGATTATCCGGAATTCGGATTATCCGGAATTCCGATTATCCGGAATTCGGATTATCCGGAATTCCGATTATCCGGAATTCCGATTATCCGGAATTCCGATTATCCGGAATTCCGATTATCCGGAATTCCGATTATCCGGAATTCCGATTATCCGGAATTCCGATTATCCGGAATTCCGATTATCCGGAATTCCGATTATCCGGAATTCGGATTATCCGGAATTCGGATTATCCGGAATTCGGATTATCCGGAATTCGGATTATCCGGAATTCCGATTATCCGGAATTCCGATTATCCGGAATTCCGATTATCCGGAATTCCGATTATCCGGAATTCGGATTATCCGGAATTCGGATTATCCGGAATTCGGATTATCCGGAATTCGGATTATCCGGAATTCGGATTATCCGGAATTCGGATTATCCGGAATTCGGAATATCCGGAATTCGGAATATCCGGAATTCGGAATATCCGGAATTCGGATTATCCGGACTTCGGATTATCCGGACTTCGGATTATCCGGACTTCGGTTCATCCGGACTTCGGTTCATCCGGACTTCGGTTCATCCGGACTTCGGATTATCCGGACTTCGTATTATCCGGACTTCGGATTATCCGGACTTCGGATTATCCGGAACCAATGGGGTTTATTGTTTTTATAATACTTCATTGTATATAGCATTCAAACAACACATGCTTATACACTTAAAGTATTAATATTTTTGATTCTCTAGAAATTGTCTAGAATATACCTTATTTAGCAAAACAACGTTTGCCGGGTCAGCTAGTATATATATATATGTATGTAATCAGTGGTGTTGTGCTAATATTTTTTCTCATGTTTGTTCCGGTTCCGTTCGAAAAGGAAAGAAACAAAAATTATTACAAAACCCATTTTGTGTACATATATGAATGTTTATTACAATAATATGAACATTTAATAAAAATTAGTTGAATTATAATTTATAAAATTCACTTATTAAATCATTTACTGTATGGAGCGATTTAAAAAAAAAATTCTTGCCGGAACGCGTTCCGGCCCAAAAATGATTTGCCGGAATGACGTTCACCACTGTATGTAATTTGTGTGTGATATATTTTCATGCATGTAATGCATTAAGGTAAATTAAAAGTTATATTATGTGATCAATAACAATAACGTGACAAAAATTATGCTTTCAGTCAAAAATTTTAAATAAAATTAGTTGACTGTATTGCTCAATTTTTCAAATCAAAGTTTTTCACGTCTTCTGCCATGGACATCATATGTGTTTACCGGGAATTGGTAAATGAAAAATGTTTTATTTAATTTTTTAAGTTTTGAATTTGAAGTAGATATAAGAAAAATTTTGGTATTATTTGAATCGTTGCATCCGCGTTCAAATTTTACTTTTGTTCTTGCTTTTTGAACGAACAAACTAAAAATAAACTTAAATTTAAACAAAACTCTAAATTTTGAAATTTTCTCAACTTATTATGGAGTAAATTTTTCCATAATTTGTGTTGGAGATTTGAAAATTAGTGGAACACTTGTGGATAAGCTCGGTAAAAATAAAATTATATAATTCTTGGCTTGAAGTTTCGTCGAAAAATGTTATTTAAGTTTATATTGATAAAGATTTTTTTATTATAGCAAATAATAGTTACAAATGACGCAAATATAATAGCTTTTTATAACTGTTAAACCGCTCGAATAAATTCACTGTGTTCAAAAATATTATGCCTATACCTCCCGGACTAATAATAATATGCTACTAATATGTGAAGCGCGAATTAATGTCAAAATGTGAAAATACAAAAAAAATGTTTACCATGTATACTGTTAAAGATTTGACTAATTGCTTTAATCATACCTTTTGGAATAATGCAAAAAAGATATGTAAACAAACATTTTTATACATGATTCTTGTGAGTAGTTTTTCAGTGTCTTCTATTTCGTCCTTATGATTTGTATCATAACCTAACTTTATCAAATAATATAAGACGAAAATATACTATATTAATAAAATGGAGACGCCCTCACTTTTTTAAACTACACTTATGTATTTGTTTACTGATGTCTGTAAATCTATTTCTAGAGTCCATATAATTTACCTTTTGATGAAAATAATGCTGTCAATCTATCATTTTAAAATTCTAAAATACTCAGCAATTATTTTATCCACCACTAGTGCCTCTTTACTTCTCTTCGAGACTTATAGAACTAGAAAAAAATTAAACTCTCTGCTAAGAACTAATGTTTTAGAGTGCGAAAGAAAACGTGCTGACTATATATTTATTAATGATCCTAATTTAAAAGAACATTTGATTGAAATATATGGCGAGGGTGATGAGTTTACTCAAGAGCCAGGACTTAAAAAAAATGGCTTTGAAATGCCATCATTTACTAAGTGGTGGAAAAATATTAAAAATAATTATGCTTTACGCCTGATCCACTTAGCACATAGTGGTACAAAATATGATAGAATTCGTGCTATCCGGTTGTTATCAAAAATGACTTATTTGCAAGATTGGGACTATAGATCTTTAGCTCAACAATGTGATGCACTAACTGCAGTTGGATTAGCACGCTCTACATCTTGTGATTTTCGATGGTTTTTAGATCCACCATTTCGTTATAAAACTTTAGAACCTAAAAAGTTGATACAGGAATTGAGACTGTTGCTCATAGCATTAGGCCCACATCCATGTATGCAATCATTTTTGAATAAAATGTTTCATGATTTCCATGAGTTTGGAGATTCTTATGACAATAGCATAGAGTATGTTCCAGGAACTCCACTGTTCAGTCATGTGCAAGATGCAATGAAATTATGTGTTGACGCCCTGGTGCATCTTTCTGTTAGACCAGGAAAAGCAAAAGAATTGGTAGAAAATGGAGCCTTACAATTGTTAATAGATGTAGCACGACATAGTAAATCAAACACAGAAATTAAATCAAATATTGCTGAAATATTGTCAAATATTGCTATTTATGGAAATTCTTTAAGTTTGGTGTACAGTTCTGGGTGGATTGGTATTCTGCATCAATGGTCTATTGATGAAGATGTACGATTAAGAGTTTGTGCATCTAGAGCTCTAATTAATTTTGACGAGGATGATTTAGTAGGTGATTACACATATCCAGCTAGAGTATTTCCATTATATCCCGTAAAAAGATGTACGAGAAAACCAAAGTTAGATGTTATTTTTGTTCATGGTCTTCTAGGTGGTGTATTTATCACATGGCGTCAACGTGATATCAAAGATGAAGCTCTGGGTCTTGTGGAAAGTATGACCTGTGGTGGAATTTGTGATGATTCTCAAATGAGAAAGGTTACAGTACCTCCACCAAAGCAAGAACTCAACTTTCCTAATGAACCCTATTCATTCTGTTGGCCAATGGATTGGCTACCAAAAGATTTTGAAAACATTCGAATTTTAGGTGTCAATTATGATACCTCCCTTTCCCTTTGGACAACTACATCTTGCAATTGCTATAGTTCTATGGGGTCGACACTTGAAGGGAGAGCTCATGATCTAATGCATAGACTAGTTCAAGCAGGAGTCGGTATGGATGGTCGGAAAGTAGTTTGGGTTGCTCATTCTATGGGTGGTTTACTAGTAAAATCTATGTTAGTTCAATCATTTGAAAGCCAGAATGAAATGTTAAGATCTTTGTATAAAAGTACATCTGGAATAGCATTTCTTGGCACCCCACATGATGGATCTAGTATAGCAGCATTGCCTGCTCCAACAGCAGCACTATTATGGCCATCTATTGAAGTGAAAGAGTTGAGAGAGAAATCGCCTAAACTAAGAGAGTTACATCACAAATTTCTTGAAATATTGGATGATCACAAAGTAGAAGTGGTTACCGTATGTGAAGGAAAACCAACATTATTAACAGCTCTTAAGGTTCCTTTAGTATTTGTAGCTCCACAAAGTGCTGATCCGGGAATAGGAGATTTTTATACAGCTCCAAGTAATCATTTAGATATATGTAAACCAACTTCCAGACAATCGTTCCTTTATAAAAGGCTGCTAGGCGTGATAAAAAATTCTTTAACTGTAGAACACTAATACCCTTTATTTTTTTTAAATAAAAGTGTGATTTATTTATTTTGAAAATATTGTTTTCCTTTTTTAGATTGAAAAAATAAAATATTTTAAAGTTTGGTTACATTCTTTGTTAATATAATGCAAATTTACTAAATATTGTTTGATAAAAATAATAAAAGTGGATATCAAAATGCAATACTTTATTTGAGAGTAAAAACATATAAAATATTTCATACTAAAATCACTACAGTTAAAATATTATCGCTGTGGAGATGGTTTTGGCTTTGGCATTTTTCCTAACAATGCTTGAATTTCTTTTTTTTCATCAAAGCCCTTCCATAATTCAAATAGGTTTATCACAGTTTTAGCAATTTCTTGAATCTGAGGGGCAAATTATTTTTGTTAACAACAGTTAAACATTATTCTTTAATATAATCGAGCTATGTACCTTCTCCATATCAACATTGAGTTCAGCAAACCAACTCTTCATTTCTTTCTGAAGTATTACACATGCAATTTGCAAGCATCCAATAGCAATCTAAGAATAATTCATATTATATATATATATATATATATATATATACTTATGGCAGTATTTAAATTCAAATCATTCAAATTTATTAATGTTTTATATTGATCGAATTTCTGATCTTTGTTCAAATTACCTGGTAAGGAGGGTATAGCAAGCTAACATCTGTTCTTAGTGAGTCATTAACAATTCTCCATGCTAATGTCAATAATTGCTCTTCATGGCCCATGTCTTGCACCATTTGTAATAATGGTCGGTAAGGCTGATACACAATTAAACAACAGTCCAAGTTTTCAAGTAAATAAAATTCACATTCTAAAATATGATTAGTTCTATATGGGAATTCCTGCTGTCCATACGCATAACTAAATTTATTCTTTATCACAGTTTGACAAGTGGTGATTAAACGTGAATTAGATATTACTCCAAATTCTTCAACTTTAGAAGAGAGAAATATACAAGTTGGTGCTAAGAGCAAAGGATCTATACACTTTAAAGAATTTCTAGCGTAAAATCGCTTAAAGTAAACTGTTGCTGTTGCTATAACTTGTTGTCGAAGCTTAAGCTGTTCACCTAAAATCTGAATTAAATTTGAGAAGAAAATAAAGATTTTTTGGTATTCCTCTTCTGACAAAATAGATAAGTCATGCTGTCGTTCACGTATTAAATCTTGTTTATCTAAAATCCATTGCTGATGATGCGAACTTTGCCAAAAATTTCCAGCCATTATTTAATAACAAATAATTTGCGAATTTATTTAAGTAAATATTACTTCCATATAGAAAACGACATAACCTATTGTTGGCGTCAAAACACCTGTCTGTGCGCCATTCCTTCAAATTCGACCAATCACCGATGTCTCATTTGACATTTGTCGATCTCCCAGAATGCAAAGGAATGCATAACTTTTTCGCGCAGGCGGGTGATCTAGCACAGATGGCACAGATTCAGTAACGTTCATTGTTAGTTTTATTTTCCTTTTAACTACATTTTATACCATAAAACAAAGGAACTCAATATTGGTTTACCTTTTTGACAAACAAGTGTGCATAGTTTTGAGTGACATATTCGTTATTAGTAATTAAATATCAAATAATTTTATACAGTCGAGCATCTTGTTGGGTGCGTGAACTGTCTCTGTGGATAGAATTTCAAATAACATCTGTGTAACAGCCATTTATTTCGGTTTGTCAACGATTTTATGTTTTATGGTATTCAGTTGATGTTTGTTACTAGTTTTTTATAATTATTTGTATTAAATAGATGAGTGGTAAAACGGAGCATAAGTCGGAAGAAATTCCTGAAATTATATACGATGCTAATACTAAGCAAAGTTATAAAAGACACAGATTTTTTGGAAAGGTAAATATGTGTGAATTGAAATAAATAAGTTTTTCCAATTAAGTTTTATATTTAGATATTTCATTTTTATAAAAAGTATTGAATGCATTATTCCTTTTTTTCGTAAACTTGATGAACACAAATAACCTAATATGACGATTGAAATTCACATTTGTCATAACCTAATATTTTTGATTGGCATGAAATCCTTATCCTTATATTCCTTCCTCTCAAACATTTTTTCAGTTGTAGCCATTGTAGTCTCGTACTAGTTATCAATGTTGTAAAATACTTGTTTTGTGCTTTTGTTGTTACAAATATTTTTACTATGTTTTTCAAATAGGGTGGTTTTGCTAAGTGTTACGAGATTATTGATTGTAAAACGAAAGAAGTATGGGCTGGCAAAATCGTATCCAAAAATTAATGTTGAAAGATAATCAAAGAGAAAAAATGACACAAGAAATTGCTATACATCGCTCTCTGAACCACAAACATATTGTTGGATTTCATGGATTTTTTGAAGATAATTTTAACATTTATATAATTTAGAACTGTGTAAAAAGCGGGTAAGTTGTATGATTTTTTTTATATTTAGTTTTAGAATATTTATAAGTTTTTAATATGCTATAGTCAATGATGGAGTTACACAAAGAAGAAAAGCTATAACTGAGCCTGAGACAAGATTTTATATGCATCAATTTTTATTAGGCGTGCAATATTTGCATCATAAGAAAATCATTCATCGTGATCTAAAACTTGGAAACTTGTTCTTGAATGATAATTTAAATGTTAAACTTGGTGATTTTGGCTTAGCTGCGAGAATAGAATATGAAGGTCTGTATAATTTGTATAATGTGCAACTTAATGAAATTGAATCATCTAATGTTATTTATTACTTAAAAACCTGTAAATATGTTTGCTTTAT